CTAACTGGATCTCACAAACGAAGTCCAGACACGTCACCGGTGCTGGGCAAAATCGGCTCAATCAATGCGTATTCTATGTTTTACTTCTCATTAATACACTGCAAGAGACAAAAGACGTTTCTAGCTTTATTAGCATCCTCCCCACCCCACCTTGTCATGCCTGGGCTTCTTTCAAGTTTGGGAACACAGTGCGAAATAAAAGCTAAGTTTTGCTCTAAAGGTTAGCTTGACTTCCTTTTCGGGGCTCGAAACACCATTCATCTTGTCTCAGAGGTTCCAACCAAAGCAGAAGATGAGCCCAAGACCCTGGTGGGCGAGTCTTTATATTGTTATGCTACTTTCATCATTACCTAATAAAATTCCCATTAGAACAGGTACAGACCGTTGGCTGTAACAAGACAGGCTGCTTTGTTTTAATTGACAGGTCGTTCCTCTGGGATTTAATTATCTCCTGTGTGTTCCTCCAACAGAAGGGCCGCTTCCCCCTACTCGGGCCCCCGTGTGCGGCCCAGAAGCGCCCGAGAACCGCACAGCTCCAGTGCAGGGACGTGGGCCCGGTCTGAACATCACGGCATTTTCTGCGCTTAGGAAGGAGGCTGCTTTCAATCCTCTGCACAGGGAGTGAAGAAGTCTAGTTTTCAGCCAGAGTCTGCTTTGAAAAAGTCGCCAAACTCAGTGTGGAGCTGCTAAAACACAAGAACCTGCTCCGGCTGTCAGAGCCACTGAGGACGGCAGCGCAGCGTCTGGAATCAAAGGGGATGTGAGCCGGCTCTTCCCTCCCACCAGGACTGCCTGGTGCGGGAGCGCGCAACCCCATCTGGGGACTGGGAGCAGGACTTGCTCAGTGACCACAGACCCTCCAGTCCCGGACCCTCTGCATCTGCCAGGGCCACCACGGCCATGTCCAGCCAGGTGCAGCGCCTGAGAAGAGATGCCACCCATGACCCCGCCTCCTTTCCACCCAGGGGTAAGGGCCTGGACCCTGGAGTGCGAGGGCAAGCAGGCCCAGGCTCTGCGTCCTCCCTGGCCGGTGACCTGGCAACCGACCTCTGCTCTCAGAGCTTCCGGCTCCTCCAAGGACACTGGCCCCACAAAGAGGGCCTGCTTCGCGGGATGCACGAGGACTGAGGGAGACGAGGCCTCTTGTACCCTCGGCACATTGCTGGGCCCCAGCAGTTCCCGGGTAACTGCAGCGTAATTAGTAAGTGCCCTTGTCACTTCTCGGGTGACCGATCGCGCCAATTTGTCTGGGACCAAGGGGCTTCCTGGACTTTCAGTGCGAAAATCAAGGCCGATCCGGGAAAACCAAGACAAGTAGGCCACACGACCTGTTGTCTGGAGGCCGCCCACCAAAGCCAACCCGTTTTCCTCCCTCTGGGTCCAAAACAGGGAGAAAACAGCATCTATTGAGGTTCCGTTCTGACCTGCTATGACAGAACTTTCTGGAGACCTACTATGGATGATATACTCCACTTAACTCCTGTTGCTCATCTGATGCTCAGATGTCCCCACCCTGGAGGGACTGTCATCCGATCGAGGAGATGAGGAGACGGGGGTTCAGAGAGGTTCACTCGGCTGCGCTTCACACGGCCAGCCGCGGAGAAGCCGGAGTTAAAACACGGTCTCCCTGGGACTCTCTGAGGCCAGGTCCCTTCCCTGGGCCGCAAGCCGGTGGGGCTCACCTCGCATGGTCCCAGTTGAGGGGTCACCGTCCCACACTGACTGTTGTTTCATAGGTGTTGCCGGGTTCTCCGCGTCTGTTTCAGGTGGGAGGACAAATCGGCTCCCGATGCTCTGTCTTAGACGCGGACACGAAGACGTGCGTTTTCCCTACGGCGTCCGGCTGCCCGGCCTCTCAGCTGAGCACGTGTGGTCCCCTCTCTGGCACTGGAACGCCTGCCCCTAATGCTTTGTCAGGAGCCACTTCACAGGGGCTTGAGGAGAAGACGGGTCTCTGTTTCTTTCAGAGTTTGCTCTTTCTGATCAGTCAATTAGTGCCGCGGCTGTTGTCACAGGAATGTTTCAAAAAATACCGAGGTGAACCCCACGCCACCCTCTCTAAGGATCACTGCTCCCAAGTCGTTTCTATTCCAGCTCTGGGGAGTGGTTAGGGTCCTTCCTCTGTCCTTATCATGCTTCACGCACCACTGCTCTCTGTGACGGTTCTGGCGCTGACTCCGTCCATAATCACACAAGACAGCAATCTTTAATTCCAGGCGGGGCCAGGACAAAGAGCCACAGACCTCCACTTCGAAATAATTCTGGGTCTGTGCTGATGTGTTTTTAGAAGCTAAGGTGGGGTCTGCTCGGGAATGACAGTCATTACAAACCCTTGGAATCTGGAAGACACCAGCTCTGGTGAAGGCCTGGCACACCACGGGAAGGAGCCGATTAAAGGGGGTCCCGAGGGAAGAAGGCCAGCCCAGAGCGGACCCCCCTCACCTCCCCCTACTGCCGGTCAGAGCAGGAGAGAGAGGCGGCCCGGCCCCATGGAATCATCCAGAAGCGGCCATGGATGAGGTCAGGCTGGTGGGAGACCAGGGCAAAGGCCAGCCCGAAGGAGAGAATCCAGGTCAGGGAAGCACAGACACCAGGCCTGGCTAAGGTCTGTGAATGTTCCAGAAGGCTCAAGTTCATGGTCGGGAATCCACAGATCCATGTGCCGGGGGCTACAGCACACTGACGGACAGAAGGGACCCCTGTCCATCACAAGCCTCACAAGCCGGGAGCCAGTCCAGGTGACAAGGCAGAAGACGAGCAGCCAGCTCAACGCAGTGCCAGGGGCACGGCCACACGTGCTCACTGCGAGGCCACCCTGCCCCGGTGCTCAGACCCTCGGCTTCCCACCTCGGCTCAACTCGACATCCTCCCCCCGCAGGATCAGAGCCGCTTCCACTCACACTTGCATCCACCTGCTTCCAGAAGGTCAAATGCCAGGGCCGTCCCTGCTCTCTGTCCAGACTCGCAGCAGAGGCCTGGGGCCCCACCACCCGCTGCCCATGACACGCCCTTCTCCCCAGCCCCAGGGCCTCACCATCACTCCCTGACCTCGCAAGGTCGAGGCGCCTGCCGGTGCCCCAAGCGTCCTCACTGACAGGAGCCCACCTGGGCCTTGTGCTCCAGGCCAACCGACCGGGACTGCCTGAGCCTCCAGAGAGCCCAGCTTGTTCACGTCACTCCCACACACAGACCCCTGCTTCCCTGGCTCACAAAGTGTCAAACTGGGTGGGCGCCCTGCTCATCTTCAATCAGGCCTCTGAGCTCGTCCCCCCTCCACGCACGTGCTCTCCACGTCCCCCCCACGTGTACTCGCGCTGTCCTGTCTCCCTGCATCTCAGGCCTCGAAGCTGCGGTCGGAGACCGGCCAGCACCCCTGCTCCCACGTTGCTCGAAGTTAAGTTTAGGAGACACAGGAGTCAATGGAGATTACATCCTGAGCTCAGACAGGGAAGTGCACGGCTGGATGAGCATCAGCTGGGGGTGCCACTCCAGCTTTAGGGGTTAGAGGAGCCCCCCAAAATCATGAGAAAGCTCCCTTCTTCAGCTGACAAATACATCTGTTGTGGGCTTAATAACTGTGAGGTGGGACAAGTATACGTCACCAGGGCACAGGGGGAGGGCTTGCCCATCCCAAGAGGAGGGGGGGGAGGCCCCACTCACAGAGTCCAAGAGAAATGCTCTCTAGCCCAGGATAACCCACCTGCCCAGGCGAACGCTCCACGTTGCCATGGAGACCCTGCACTGAGCCGCTCTCGGCTCCCCACCGCAGCCTAACCTCAGCCGGCCAAGGTCAGCACCTCCCACTGGCACAGGCTCTCACCCAGGACGATGCTGCTTCCACCCCCAGGAGCCATGGGGCCATGTCTGGAGACACGTTTGGTTGTCACAACTGGGGGGTGCCACTGGCATTTGTGGGTGGAGACCAGGGATGCCGTAAATGTCCCACAACGCACAGGATAGCCCCCACCGTAGAGAACTGTCTGGCTCCACAATGGAATACTATTCGGCCATAAAAAAGAACGAAATCCTGCCACTTGCAACAACATGGGTAGACCTTCAGGGTATTATGCTAAGTGGAATAAGTCAGACAGAGAAAGACAAATACTTCAAGATTTCACTTATATGTGGAATCTAAAAAAACCAAACTCCTACAAAGATAGAACAGACTAGTGGTTGCCAGAGGTGGGGGTGGGAGGTGGGGGACCTGGGTGAAGGTCGTCAAAAGGTACAAACTTACAGTTATAAGACAAATAAGTCCTGGGAATGTGATGTACAGCAAGGTGACTATAGTTAACAATACCGTATAGTATATTTGAAAGTTGCTAGGAGAGTAGATCTTAAAAGTTCTCACCATAAGAAAAAATAATTTGTAACTAAGTGTGGTGATGGATGTTAACCAGACTCATTGTGGTGACCATTTCACAATACACACTTTATCGAATCATTAACGCTGTACACCTAAAACTGATACATTGTTACATGTCAATTATATCTCAATAAAACTGGGGGAAAAAAAGAGAAAAGATAAGATTAAATAAAAGTTAGTGCTCATTTGGAATTGTTAAAAAAAAACAATTGTCCAGCCCAAAATGTCAACGGGCCTGAAGCTGGGAACCCCTGCATTTTAGTCCACACGTGAGTGGAGGCCCACACGCATACCGAACCTGGTCTCCAGCAGGGGGAGTGAGACATTTGCATGCGCATGCATGTCTCCCAAGGCTGACACACAGCACTCAATACGTGCTGTCATTCATTCGCCACTTGTTCAACAGATATGTAGTGACGACCTACTATGTGCCAGGTGCCGTGCTGGCTCGAGAGAGATGGTGGGAGCACTCACAGGTGCATCTAGAACTCACGGAGGAGTGAGCAAGCACCCTTAAAAACCACGTAACGCGTACACGCTGCATATGCACATGTAATCTGAGTAGCGGGACCACCTTTCCTAACTGAACCCATGCTTCGGCGAAGTTCATGGAGTCCTCTCCATAAGCACCTACCTCCAGTCTCCAGGTCGTGGAAATTCGGATCCAGGCCTCGTTCCAGCAGTTTGACGATCTTCTCCACCGCACGGTGCTGAATATGATCCATGCACTTTTTCAGATTGGTCTAAAGAGAAAAATAAAAAACGAGAAACGTCTTTGCAGGCCATCGGAAGGCTCCTGACAGGGTGCACTCTGGCCTCCCCTATGGAGGGAGAGCCGCCCCTTGATGGGGGCCCAGTGCCCACCCTTGGGCTCACCAGGCAGCCACTTTCTGCTTCTGGAACCCCAGGGCCAGCACGGAGTCCAGCGCTTGCCCAACGCACTCAGCCTGTCCTGGATGAATGTTTTAGAAGTCCTCACCGCTCGCTGTCCTTGCCGAGAGCCATGGGGATGTTCCTTTGCTCTCAAAAGGATGAGCCACCTGGACCACTTTGAAAAACTACAGTTTCCAGGGTCCGCCCCAGACCTTCTGACCCCAGCTCTGGCGAGCGAGGCCCAAGGACTGGCATTTGTGTTCTAATCTCTAAAGCAGCAGCCGTGATGGAGAGCAAACAGGGCAGCCGCTCACTCAGTTTAATCCACTTTTTGGTTAACCACGTGGCCACACGGGCAGAAACAGGGACGCCTAGTCACCGAGCGACTCAGGGTGAAGGAGATATTCACTTCTCATGAGATCAAAGGGATCAGCAGGTCAACCTTGACGGGGAGAGATGTTTCCTCAGCCTTTCCCAGCCTCGTCTATAGGAAAAATAATGATTTCCCGTCCATCAGGCAGGCAGCTCAGGCTATATGATCATAATCGCAGTATCCCATACGCCTCCATCTGAGAAATCAAACTCTTCTCAGTGGCCTAGTTCTCGGCCTGCACTCCACATCCCTCCTAAAACACACTGGAGGGAAGCAACGGTGGTTTCGACCCTTGCAGCCCCTGGACCTTTCAGACTGCTGACATGGGCCAATCTCCACCTGAATGTTTTCCATACCTTCCAAGACTAGAAATTAACAAATGCACAAAGACGTAAGATACGCTTGGTCTCACTTTTCACCTGCATTGCTACTTACCAAGTGACAGTCTTAAAAAGTTCACACATTTTTATCTACACATCAGAGGGTAATCAAAAAAACCAGAAGTGGGGGCTGGCCCGTTGGCATAGTGGTTAAGTTCTCGTATTCCACTTTGGGGGCCCAGGGTTTGCAGGTTCGGATCCCAGGTGCAGATCTACACATCACTTGTCAGGCCATGCTGTGGCGGCGTCCCATATAAAGTAGAGGAAGATGGGCACGGATGTTAGCCCAGGGCCAGTCTTCTTCAGCAAAAAGAGAAGGACTGGCATCGGATGTCAGCTCAGGGCTAATCTTCCTCACCAAAAAGGAAAAAAAAAAGAAGAACAAACCAACCCAGAAATGCCCAGACCTTGGGGTCTAAACAGCACTGTCCAGGTGAATTCCAGGGCTGGACAGGGAAAGTGCAGAATGGCCCGAGCATCTTGTTGTGTCATAAAGTCATCAGCACTGAAAGGATGGTAGGGACATGCCAGGGGGCACAGAGCCAGGCAGACGGGCTGCCACTGGCCACATCCAGACAATTTCGGCACAAAAGCAAATCGTGATAATGGCAATTAGAACCTACTGAACATAATAAAAACCCACACGTCCATCCTGAATCAAATCGGAGGGCCCTGCTGGTTGAGAACTCCCTCTGTGAGCTCACAGCTACAGGTGAGCTCACCTGGGCAGCATCAGGAGCAGCTAAGGGAGGCTGCTCAGGGAGCGTCCCGACTATGCCACAGGCTCTGGGCACCCACGAGCATCTGGAGTATCACACGTCCTCCTCAGTGTTAAGGGAGGTGCCCAGCACGTGCTCCTGTTCCAGCATCCCCTTGGACACACACAGCATCCCTGACGAAGTGCAGACGTGCCCATGGCATACCAGCCCGGCTGCACGGGCTCCCTGGGCACAGGTGCGCACAGTATGTCCAGCCAGGAACTGAGCGTTCCATAGAACACAGCCCATGGCTCTTTGCCTTAACACCCTGCTTCACTCCCATTGCCCACATCTGTGCAGTTTATGCAAAGAGCACATTAATCAGCTTTGCACTCAAGCGACAGCAGTGGAAAACTACTTCAGTGTTGTCTTCCATTTCAGCATCGATGGCTCAGAGAGAACGGCCACCCTCCTCCCAGAAACAGCCAGGAGACAAGCATAAAGTGGGGTTCCACTCTACTAAGTGACATTATTTCACTTTCAAGTTGTCATCTGATGTATTTTCATTATACAGGAGGAGATGACAGTGGCATTTAAGGTGGGGGGCTGTGGTGGACACCCTTCTGGGGGCCATGGGGAAGGTCCCGGGCAGCGTGAAGTGGGCCTGGTCCACCTGTATATCCCTACCCCGCCTCTCACCACGACAGGTTTGCACCAGGTGCCCCATCAGCTCTCGCAGGAAGAAGAACCCTCCCAAAGAGCTCCCCTGGTCTCTGAAGATGATGGCGAAGACAAACGACAGAACACCAGGATCGTAAGTGACAACCGTCCCTACTTACCTTTGTGTGTAGCTTTGCCAGCTGTTTCTCGTCCAGATTGGCTTGTTTATACACCCGCTTCTTATATCGAAACTGGCGCAGAAACAGAAAAAAAGACAACCAAGTAAGCATTACACACGGCTGTTCAGAGGACAAACGGCCTTCTCCTGGGCTCTTTCACCAAAGACCGGGGCTCCACAGCAACTCTTCAAGTGTGAGATCAACTACTGTACTCGTACCGCAGAGCCTACGCCATCGTAAGAATAACTTTTGCCGAGATTCTGCAGCCACTTGGGTAAAAAGCCATAAAACAACAAGAGCAACCCAAAGGAGGAAGGAGTTGAGATCCACTGGTAGAGAAGCACAGTCGCCTGCCACGTTCAGCACCCTCTGCATTACTAGGAGACCACGGCTCTGTGCGTGGGAATCTGCCTGTCCTCAGCGTGGCACTGTTAGCAATGAGGATGCCGCTTCATCTGCCAGATTTTTCTTCTGTGTCTTCAACCTTTATTAAAATATGCATTAGAAGCCCTGGTCTGGGGAAGCCACCTCCTCTGGCACCTGCAGCCTTTGCCCGGGACTTTGGGGCTGGGGTTCATTCCCTTAAACCTCGGCACCTCCCTTGATCTGGAAATCACATTGTCAGAACCGAGAAGCACATGTTGCTCAGATGTTGTAATAGCACCCAAGAAGTGGCCCTGGTGTCAGAGTCGGCTTCCTGATTCCCTGGCACCTTTTGCCTAATGCCTCCCCGCCTCTCCCAGGTACCCTGACCCCTTGTCAAGTAGAAAGTGCTGGAGACACTACAGAGGTTTGGGAAGGACGCCAATAGTCTGGGAGTCACTGAGATCTCGAGTTGAGACATCTGTTCCAATTCCAGCCCCACCACCGTCCTATCGTCGGAGTAACTTTGTGCTGGACACTTGCCCCATCTCAGCCTCAGTTTCCTTATCTGTCACATGGAGATAACAACACAAAGCTCCCAGGTGTCCCGAGGATTGAATATAAGCTTCCTGGCACAGAACTGGCACTGGACCGATGATGTTTTATTCCTCCTCCCCCACTTCCCCCCAGTTCCATCCACTCCGAGGAGTTCCAACAAGACGGGGGGAGCAAAAACACCCTCGCTCAAGGTTGCACAGCGACCTGAAAAGTCTGAAGGAATTCAAATCGATGGGTACTTTTTCTAGTTATAAAGGAATATGCTAGAGCTGATAACACCTCTCGGCAGGAGGGTAAGTACTGAGGAGGAGAGTCTACTTGCAGAGTCATAAACCTTCACAGCTCACGGCTACAGAGGGATGCAGACTCAGAAACAGAAACCCTTCTCCTGCTGTTTTCTCCACGTTTCCTAAGTACCGTTAGCTAACCATATTTTACCAAAATTGTCCAAGGCAAAGACCTCAGCTCCACGCCTGCTCCTAACGCATCCATCCCCAGGCCCGGCTCAGCTCTGCACAGCGTGTCACCTGGCAGGACGGTGGCCCTGGGAGACAAATGAATGTAAGGGTAAACAGCTCTTTTATGGCAATGAGAGCTAATGACAGCAGCAGCTGCAACACCAGCTCTGGGCACTCGCCAAGGCCAGGCCTTATGCTGAGTGGAAGCCCTCATCTGAGCCTCACAGCCACCCAAGAAGGCCGTGCTAACGTTGCCTCAATTTCAGAGCTGGCAATCTGAGGCTCAGAGAGGCTGGGTGGGGCACTCAAGGTTGCACAGCGACCAGGACTGGACCCAGTCCATCTGACACCACAGCCCACGTGCCCACATGGGGCAATGAACTCAAGAGTCGGATGCTCTCGTGCAAACCTCTTACCTCACCTCCCACAAGGACATCAGAAAGAGGACACCCATGCCCGCTGTTCTCAAAGGCACGACACAGCCCTGCCCAGGTTACGCTGTGCTTTCACATGCTTTCTCTTGTCCATTTTTCAGGCAGTGAGGGGACAGGCCGTAAGGGGGCCTTCAGATCAGAGCAATGTCGCCTCCTCCAAGAGGCTTTCTGATCAGAGTAGGCTCTGGACTTCCTGGTCTCCTCGCCTGGTTTACTGTTGTGACAGAAACTATCAGCCCCCTAAATGAACTGTTTATTTACTGTTCCTGGCCTGTCATCTCCCACTGGAGTGGAGGCTCCACCAGACCCGACCTCGACTGTCTTGTGCACGCTGGACACGCCTAGAAAGTGTCAGGCACATAACAAACCCCAACAAGGGATTTTTCAATGGACACTCATTTGACAGATGAGCAAACTGAGGTCAGAACATCTTCCAAGTGGCATCCTGTCTCTTCCTCCACTGAAACCCTTCCCCAGGTCTGACATGTTCCACCTAAATGGAGATCCCCAAAACCTCAGCCTCAAAGTCACCATCAGACCTAGAAACGAGCAGACGAGGGAGTGCTGGGGTTCTGAATTCGTGTCCACGACATCTCTGACTTCAGAGTAATCTCCAGTCACTGAGAATATTGTAGAACCCACTCAGACTCCTCAAATGCCAGCTACTGTCCACACTTACAGTCTCTCACTGTTTGATAAGCTGAAATGAATACGACCACGTAATAACAGTAGCGACATGTCGTGCAGTCATAGAAATGACCACATTTCTGGCCTCTCGTATAACCCTCTTAACAGATCAGGGGAAATACTGTATGTAAACCCGGGGTGCAGCAAGCCAGGGTCAGAAAGGCAGGGACTGGCTCACACTTTATGTGGAGGTGTGTAAGGCCGCCTAGCTCATGCATCAACCGCCTTATGAGGTGGGCCCAAGAGCATGTGACCAGCTGTAGCAGCTCAGAGAGCCCACAGGTCATTTCCTGAGCAAGAGGCAGAAAGGAAATTGTGCTTTTGATAACAGCTGGAGGGCCACTGGCCACCCTATGCCCAAGGGCACAAGACTGACTCAGGGAGCAGGAGCAAGCCCCATTCTGCATCCCAGGACTCATACGTCCTGGTGACAGGAGCCTGAGCCACATCCATGCTTTGCTCACACCAAGATTTCTCTCCAACAAATTCGTCAAATCTGTGGTAAGAAAACAAATGGTCTGCGAATCACAACAAAATTAGGGGCGACCTCAAGACCGAAACCGATTTTTTAATTTGGGGGTCATTTCTCAATCCAAATCAAATCTGGAGTTTAGTGAGGGTCCCCCTCCCCCACCGTGCCCAGGCTGTGAGCAATGACCGGTACCTCCAGGGAGGGGACACCCTTGCCCACAGGCTGCGGGTACTCTCGCAGGAGCCGCTCCTCGTCCAGGAACTTCCCGTCGCGCCCATTGCTCGCCGGCTGGAACAGCCCATAGTTCAGGACGTCCTTCAGGCTCTGGTTCAGCGAACACAGAATCCGCTGCTTTGCAACCCACACCGTGGCGTCCGGGTTAAATCGAATGCACTTCTGCAGGGAAGGACAAAGACATTCGAGTAGTGATGCAGAATGCCACCTGAGCAGCCCACCTGGGCACACGGCCAGAGATGGCAAAGGTGTTTCCATCCCGTCCTCATAATTTCTCTGAGCAATGGACCCCCTGGCCTTTCAGGATGAAAAATAAGACCTTCTTGTCGCTTGGATGGAGACACGGGTAAATATAAAAAGAGAAAAGCCAAGATCAAGCCATTGGTTTCTGTGGCCTCAACTCTCACCATTCACTCGAATCACCGGTACCTGCAGAAATCAATTATCATTGATTTCCGGTAGTCAGTAACCACCTAGTGCCTCGGCCAGTTCTCTTACTTGTCTGTGCTTCTCAAACTTCAGCACTTGTTAAAACACAGACTGTCGACCCCCTCCTCTCCCGACAGAGTGTCTGATTCAGCAGTTCTGGGCCCCAGAACCTCATTTCTCTCAAGTTTCAAGGTGATGCTGTTGCTGCTGGTCCTAGGAACGCACGTTGAGAACCACGATTTGAGCGCACCCCACCGTGACTTAATTTTTGCGTGGACCGCCCTTTGACATTTCAGATATGGGTGGACGTCTCGTCTGCTCGCCTCACTGACGGGCGAGTCCATACGCCCCACGCTGACTCTCAACATAACAGCTTGGAAAACAGGCACCACCCCTCCCAAACCATAAAGGAAGGCAATTACAGAAAAATCACATCAGTTGCCACAAGAGCTAATTTTCAAAAAAGTTAAGTATTGTCGATGATACCAACCAATCACGAACGCTTTTGAAAATTGTAGTAGTGCTGCTAAGAAGCAGAATGACACTGCTTGGTCGTGCGCTCAGGTCCCTTCTGTGAGACTCAGCAATAAGCCAGCAAAAACAAACGCCAGGCCAAATCCGCTTCTCACCGCGACTTCTAACTTTTATTGAATTAAAATTATATTCTGTTGTATAGCCATCAGCAGGGGCTCAAAATTTGCTTTATCACCGTAAAAGCATTCAGAAATAAATGAGGTTTGACTGAATATGAGGCTGGAACCAATTCTCTACCAGGGGATTCTGTGTGCCTGAGGAAGTAAAAGGCCCCACCACTGTCTCCCCGAGCCTCAAGGTACGTTCCTCCTCGCTGAGTAAGATGATTCCACTGTTCTCAACAATGAGGTGGGATCAGCAGCCAGCACAGAATCCCGTCGCCCAGGAGACCTGACCCCGTGCGCATGAATGCTCCGTCTGTCTCTCTCCGATGTCAAAGGCTGAACTCAAAGGTAACTCTCAGAACTACTCCTCACGGGGTATGGGGCTGAGTGGGGGCTGGTTGTTCACTTCGGTGACCGCCAGACACACCCCGCCCATCCTTGGTTGAGCGAGAGGAACATTTGGAAACTCCAGGCACAGCCAACAAGCCCTATAGATGTGGCCATGTGGGGTCATTGACAACTCGCCAATTCCTGTCTCAGCAATCACCGTTGGCCTCTGGTTCCAACTACACGGACACCTAACTCAAGTTCCCTTAATGCCAGCATCCAAGGAAGGCCGAGCCTCGCTCTCTGTGGCCAGCAGAAAAGATCCTGCTGGCGGGTGGGTGCTGAGTGGAGGAGAGGCTGGGAATCGCCTCCCAGGGGACCCACGTGGCACTGTAGGTGGTTGCAGAGACTGGTGTCACCGCCACTTAGTGGATGGGCCAGGGATGAGGAGTCTGAGCAGTGCAGGGACCAGTCCTGCACAATGAAGGACTGTCTTGCTCCAAAAACTGCCAAGATGGCCCCATTGAGAAACTTCTAGAAGGAGCCGGAGCTTGGAGGTCGAAAGGCTTGGGTTTGCAACCCCACTGCATACACTAACCCTGTGATCCTGGGTAAACCTACCAACCCAGCAGTCCCCCCGTTTCCATGATGAGAAACTGGGCCAGTGCTTAACTTGTAGGGTTGTTGTAAGTATCAGACGGAACATAAATAATACATGTCATTATGGGTTGAATTGTGTCCCCAAAGAGACATTGAAGTCTGAACTCCCTTTATCTGTGAATGTGACTTATTTGGAAATAGAGTCTTTGTAGACATAATCAAGTTAAGTTGGGGTCATAGACGAGTAGGATGGGCTCTACTCCAATACGACTGTGTCCTTATAAAAAGAGGAAATTTGGACACAGACACACACACGGAGAACGCCATGTGAAGACAGAGGCAGAGATGGAGGTGATGCTTCCACAAGCCAAGGAACACCAAAGATTCTGAGCAAACCACCAGAAGCTACGGGAGGGGCCTGGAATGGACTCTCCCCCAGAGCCCTCGGAGGAACCAACCCTGCTGAAACCCTGCTCTTGGACATCCAGCCTTGAGACTGTGAGACAATAAATGTCTGTTGTTTAAGCCGCCGTCCCCGCCTGTCCTATCTGTCTCTGGTAGTTGGTTACGGCAGCCACAGTAACTAACACTCAAGTGAAGTGCCCGCCTCTGACGGTGGCAGCAAAGAACAGCATCGCCGTGGTCACCTTCTCTGAGACAAGAGCTCCCTGGTAACTCCCTGCCCTTTCAATGTGATGGGTGATGCCTACGTGTTGACACTGGCTCAAGGAGCCCACGGTGCGGCCAGCTCAGAAGACATGTGGATGAATCCTGCTTCACTCCTTCACTTACCCTCATCGACTCGCCCCCTTGCTTACCGAGCCCCCCATCAGGCAAAGCCCAGTTCCAAAGACAGTCCTGACACTGGATAGGAGATCCGTATTTGTTGAAGGAATGAAAGTTGGGAGCCACAAGAACGATAATGGGCCAACCAGCCCTACACCAATATTTGCAGTGGTGAAAGACTCAACTATCACTCGACATGGAAAAGGTGACAATCAATGCCCAAGCCAGCCCCCTTGGAGGCCCAGAGGGAGCAGTGGCTAACCCTGCCTGGGAGGGCATCACAGACCATCGACACCACAGACAATGCCCAGGAACGAAAAGGATGTCAGAGTCTGGGGTGGGAATTTCACGTCGAGGCCCAGCTTAAGAAAAAGCAGGGGGGAATCCGGGAGCAGTGACGAGGTTGGCAGGTGGAACGCCGAGGACAGTTTCTACCTGAAGTGACGCTTCCTCGTTCCCTTGTTACCATTGTGATGCACGGTAGAGTAATGTTCTTCTTGGGGAGTGTTGGTGTCAGAGTCCTGTGTCCCTACAGCCCTGCAAAATGGGTATTCCTTCATATGGTCATGCATTGCTTAACAACGGGGACGTTCTGAGAAATGCACCATTAGGCGATTTCATCATTGTACGAGCATCACAGAGTGCACTTACACAAACCTAGATGGTAGAGCCTACTACACACCTAGGCTGTACGGTACTAATCTTATGGGACCACCACCATATATGCGGTCCATCATTGACCAAAATGTTGTGATGCGGTGCATGACTGCAATTTGTTACAGGTGTTCTCAAGAGGTGAGTGATTTGCTGGAAGATTCACAGACAATACAGGGAGGACTGCAAAGATGGGCCAGGTATCAGGTATTCCAGCCTCCAGCCACTTCCATTAAAGAGTTGCTTGAGGAAACATCTCTCCTTTAGCATCTCTATCTTCTTCATGAAGGGTTCTACATCAGCACCCAGGTGGCTGTGGGTGGGGGGACATGAGATGACTGAGACAAGGACCTTGTCCCTTAAGGAGCTCAGAGCCTAGCATCACAATGATGATGATGGTGATGGTGCCCCTTAAGGAGCATCATTAAGCATCATGATGATGATGATGGTGATGGTGATGTTGATGATGATGTTAGTCGTGATGATGGTGGTGATGCTGATGATGATAGTGACGATGATGATGATGATGGTGATGATGGTGATGATGATGGTGGTGATAATGATGGTGGTGATGATGATGGTGATGATGATGGTGATGGTGATGGTGGTGGTGATGACGATGATAATGGTGATGGTGATGGTGGTGATGATGATGGTGGTGATGATGATGATGATGGTCATGATGATGATGATGCTGGTGGTGGTGATGGTGATGATGACACAGTCATGGTTAACATTTATTGAATCCTAATATGCCAGAAACTGTGCTAATTGTATTTACCTTCACCACAACCAGGAGTGTACATTATTGTTATTAGTGTTACAGTAACCATTATTGATATAATAATGATTCTTATTAATATAATATTATTATATTATATGTATAGGTTATAATTATGTAATATTTATTTATATTATAATATAATATTATGTATATTATTAATAATAACATAGTAACAATCATTATTATTATTCCCATTTTCCTGATGAGGAAGCTGAGCCTCAGAGACTCAATTACCCCAAGGTCACATGTCTAGAAAGTGCTGGAGGTTCAACTGAACGCAAGTCAAGTCTGCCCAGCACGGAGTCTTCACTCTGACATGTTTTTCCTCTCCACGCACGTACACGGGCACCCTTCATGCGAGAAAATGATAAAACATTTGATAATCAACAAGAAAACTGAAGAAAATATTTACGGTCAGGTGCTTCATGGATCAGGGACATACTGCCTTTTTCAGATTTTCCAATTACCTGTCAATTTGCCCCAATATTGAACACTGACAATTACAAGAGAGAAACAGTTTCACCTCCATAACAAGGGACAAAATTTGGGAGATTCTAAGTAATTTTTTCAAAGAAGTAAAGTCTAGCCTTCAAGGTACCAACCAACAGCTTTAGGGGAAGATGTGTCATGAATAGCACTACCAAGATGAACCACGGCTGCCTCTCTGGGACGAAGCAGAGGTGAGCTACGGACACGGCGTCCTGCCACCTAACGACTGGGCTTTGGAAGAACAACAAAGCATTTCAAACAAAGATTTTCACCCCAGTAAGAACCCACAAGACAAAAAATAACAAAACTTGGAAGTAGCTCCTCTGCCCGACAATGGTGCAAGGTCACTCTAACCAGGGCGTCCACTACAAAAGAACACGCTGACGATGAACCTAAGTACACAGACCAGGGAAACACATGGAGAATTGGACGCCAGCTAACCAATGAGTAAGTCA